ACTTTTATTTCTACGTAAAATTTTTGCTAGTTCATTTTGACGTTTTTTTTTTTTTTTTTTACCGGAAACTTTCATTCCTTTGCAATAAACATTCAAAAAATCGATCATAGAATTGCTTCATTCTTTTCTCTCTCTCTCTCTCTTTTACTCGTCTTACCTCCAAGTGATTAATTAATTAATTAGTTTAATAGCACAATGCTCAAAAGTCACATTTGAATTTTGTTCAATTTTTTTTAAAAAAAAAAAAAAAAAAGGACAAAAGTATAAAATATGATGAAATTTCAAAATAAATGTGAAATAAATTCGTATTGAAGGAAATTATCTACGAAAAGAAATAACTAGTAATAAAGTTCGATTGAGCAGGTAAATACAGGTAGATAAGAGAGGAAGAGAGGACGTAAAAAAGGGGAGGTAATAAGGTGCCATAAAACCTTTTACCTTTAAATTACTCCTTCTCATCTGTATGCATGGTTCCAAAAAACCAGATGATGTACAACCAACTATTATCACCGTATGGTACAAATAATTCACATTTTTCTCTTTTTTTTTTTGATTTCATTTTATTAAGCAATTTAATGAAGGAAAAAAAAAAAATAAGCAATTATATAATTATTAATTGTTAAATTTATCATTTCATCAAAAAAATAAAAAAAATTCTTATAATTTTTGAGCTAAAAAGATTTTTACCATGTAAACTTTTTAAATATTAATAATGAATTTTTGTAAAAAAATTTTTTTTTTTTTTTGTGAAAAATTTTTCCGGATACGGAATAATTCTCTTTTACATCTATTCTCATACACTGATATAGAAAAGAAAAACTTTTCATCTATGTTTGTAATAAATAAATATATCAAAAGATTTCTTCCGTTTTTATTAGTATCATAAATTATATATCAATAAAAGATAAATGGGTGTTATCGATTGAAATTCGTCTTTTCGTCAAAATAAATAATTATTAAAATATTTGATAAAAAAAGGAAGAGGACAAAAAGAGCAGTGAAATATACAAATGCGCCATTGTCAATCATGTGACATCCTTTGGGGAAAAAAGTAAAGTTGGAATAATCTGATTCATTCGTTTATTTGCTTTCTGCTTGAACAACAATAATGATGATAATATTATCTCGGGAGTAAATCCCGAAGGAAAACTTAAGTCTGTCAGAAAGCAATAAATTTTTCCAATCTTTTTCGTGCTTTTTTTTTTGTCCTTTTTAAATTAAGATATATTTTTGGCTTGTTGCTTAGTTATCAAATTTATCATTTCATCAAAAAAAAAAAAAAGAATCTTTATGATTTCTAGGCTAAGAGATGATAGAAAAAGGAAAGCAGTGAAATTAAAATTTGTAAATAATTTACTTATTATTAGCATTTATAACAATAATAGTAAATAGTATAAAAATTCAGAAGTTTCACTTTTTCTTTTTGTTTTTTTTTTGAGAAAAATCTATTTAAATTGATTACAAATTATTGTAATTTAAAAGCATTTCTTAAAATCGTTTTATTTTCTTTTTGTACATGGCGAAGAAGGATAATTAAACTTCAGTAATTGAAATTAAAAACTCAAATTAATTACTTGTAAGAATATAATTTGTGAACCAAAACAATTCACCGAGAACCGGAAATTCTGAGGAAAATCCGGAAAAGCGTTACTTTGTTTTATCTCTGCCATTTAATTGCAATGGCTTAAATTCATATGTTCGAATGTTTTTTATGATTTTGTCATCTGTGTAAATTATTTCTAAAATAAATTTATAGGCCTTTATCAATTCCTTTGAAAAAAAAAAAAAAAAAAGAGAAAAAAAACCTAATATTATTCCAAATTCTTTAATAATTTAAAAAAAAAAAACTAAGGGATAAATTTCATGCAGATTTTTTGATGCTTATTTTTTCAAAAATAAAATTCTCATTTATCTAGATTGAACAAAATTTTATAGTTGAATTGCTTCCTGAAATTGCCTTTTTTTTTTTTTTTTTTTTTTTTTTTTTAATTTGTTTCCATAAATGAAAAAAGAAAGAAATGAAAAAAAAAAAAAAAAAAAGGAAAGATCGTTGTTTGCTGAAATGATTTATTTCTTTCGATTAAAAAAAGAAAAAATAATGGAATTTTTCTGATAACTTCAATTTACAATAAATTTTATTGCGAAAATTTTATAAAACAGAAGGAAAAAAAATTTTTTTTTTTCTTGAAAATAAAAGCAAGCAATTTGATTAATTGCAGATCAAAAAAAAAATAATAATAATTATAGATTAAGCAATAAGAGAAAACAAAAAAAGATTATATATTTTAATGCCAGGTGATCACATGTGTTTCGATTAGGAAAAAGTTAAATTTATTGAAATAAACTTATAAAAAAAACTTAAACTTATAAAAAAAAAAAAGTTAAACTTAATTAGAAATGTTAAGCGTTAAAATTTATTCAATCACTTAAAAATTTTGAATTCAAACTTTGGCATAAATATTCTGTGTTGCAGTTAATCAGAGAGAGAGAGAGAGAGAGATCTCATTAATAACACAAATTTCATCAATGAATAATGAATAGGAAATTTGCAAATTAATGGGAAATTTAGATGAATAGGAAATTTTCAGATTCTAAAGTATTTAAAATTTATAGAACAATATTAAGGTGATTGAATTTTGAAAATCTAGCTAATTTTCAAATTAATTTTTTTATGCAGCTAAACTTTGATAGCATTCATCATGAATTGTAGTGATCAAATGTCAAACATCGATCAACTCGTTGTTAATTCCGAATAATGATAGATTAATTCCGGATAATGATGGATAGTTCAATTGGTAACAGCTGCCACACAATATTTGCAAATATAACAATCAAAAAGCATTCACTTTCAGGCACGAAAGAGTAATGAATAGAAGAGAAATAAGAAAAGTTGAAAATGGTTTTGCTGGACAAATAAATAAATAAATAAATGACATAGATAAATGGAATATGAATGATATCATAAAAATGGAAATGGAAATGAAATGGGATGAGATGTATTAAGTTTAACATGAACAGATATGAGAGGATGAGAAGAAAGATGAAGGAAGACTATATTTTATGCCTAGTCTAATCTACTTAATCAACCACAACCACAGGCGCAATTATTCACTACAGTCCGCCAATATGAAGCACATTTTGACTGATTAAAACTAATCTTCTTATTATAATTGTTATTGCTATTGCTTACTAGTAGTAATCGGTTTAAAGTTCGAAGTAGTTTAACTTTTAAATGATAGCAGTAATAAGCGCAAAAAGTAAGCAATTACCATTAACTATTAAAAATGCTACCATTGTCACTAAGAAATATTGCTGCTATTTTATGACTCATAATATTTAATAACAATACAAAAAATAACCGTAATAACAATCATTTAATTACAAAAAATAACCGGATTAACCGAATCCGTATTCCAAAAATTACAAAGTTGTAGAAACGATAAAAACATGAAGTAATTTTCTTCCTGTCCTATTTCATTAGATTACCTATGCATAATGAGAAATGAACACGGATAGTTTTAATTCAAGGAAGTCACTGAGTAAGACTGGCGCGAATAGTTGAATCTTTGACCTTTCGATACAATATCAATGACCTTTCCTTGACCATTGTCTCTGTTTTTGTGTACTATAAAGGAAATTCGAAAAGTTTGTTTTCATTCTTTTAAGCTAAAAGTATCGATTGTTAAATTGTAAAACGACTTAAGCACTAAAAGCAATCAAAGTTGAAACTAAGCCATTAGACTTTTCCAAACTAAAAAAAAAAAAATCTAACTTCATTTAGACAAAAACGCCTAAGTCAAAGATATATATATTTTTTATGAAGTATCTATGAAATAGCATAGCATTAGTAAGGTACCTTTCCCTTCTTATCATCATATTTGGTACCTACAGGTACCATATGTCATTAACACCGCATTTCTTCTTCTCTAATGACAAATTAACATTAATAAAAAGAGTGAGGGAAAGGTTAGCATACAACTAATTCCATTTTAATTTCACTACAAATGCTTTTACCATAAACGATTATTACGAATGGCAAATAATTATTATGAATAGCTATTCTTTTGTAAAGATTTGCCCTATTAATTTTATTTAGATTATTTCTCATATAAAATATTACCATTAAAAAATTTTCGTTTTCTTACAACCAAAGTAATACTTGAACAAATATATGATTTTTCGTGAAAATATATAAAAGGGAGGTAAAAAAGTATATACAATTATATTGATAAATCAAAGAATTATGTCTCATTAAAATGTTAAGTAATGATTTGTTAAATTGATAATTAGATAAATAAATGATAATTATATTAAGCTTAAATAAATCTTTTTTTTTTTTTTTTTTTTATGATACGAAACTTATATGAAAGGCACGGAAATAACCAAACATTAGGTAAATCGATAAATTATCTTATAAATAAGTTAATTAATCATAAATCATAAATTAATATAAATAATTTAAATACGAAATAAGAAAAGAACACAGTACTAATGGCAATTTTGTTTTTCAATCATTCACTCTAATGAGGAATCACTGATACAACGGATCAGATAAACTGTTTATCAGAGATAATTCAGCTGATAAAACTTTGTTCAGTACTTCCCAGAGCATGTTAAAAAAAGTAACAGTAAATATGATAAAATGATAAAGTTGTTCAGTAAATAAGTTAATGGATAAGTGATTAGCCAAAAAATTATAATCATTTAACCGATTTTATAAATAAAATATTTGACCAAATATAAAAGGAATAAAACATAATCTCAAACAATTGAATTAATAAATCAATTATTCATCAAATAAATAATTATTAAAGTTGAAATGTTCATTTTAAATAGACATAAAAAATATTTGAATAATGAATGGTGACCTTTGTTCGAACTATTTTCATTTTAGGAACAAAAGAAATACAATTTAAGAAAAAAAAAAATAGATGAAAGGATTAGGATTAATTTGAGCAAATTTAAGCAATTACCCTACAATGATAATAACAGTAATGATAATGGCGGTAACGACAACGACAACGACAGTGACAACGACAGCGACAGTGACAACGACGACAACGACGACAACGACAAAAATGATGACAACGACAGCGACAACGATGATGACAACGACCTCGGCAGCAGTTGGTGAGATGGTTGTTGGGATGAGATGGAAGGAGGGAAAGAGCCATAAAATTGGTAATAATTTTAGTCCTTTCCTCCTCATCCTCCGACCTCCATCTTATTTCCTTTTCTCTAACACTTTTTCAATCCCAATCTTTTCCTTACATTCATCCCTTCAATGAGTTTCATTTTATGGGTTACATTATTTCATTTTTTTCTCTTCACTTAAATTTATTTCAAATTTTAGCAATAAACTTATGTTGCAAAGAATTTCATTTCATTTAAAGTTATATTAAGTGCAACAAATTATGAATCTTTTTTCTTTCTTTCTTTTTTTGATTAAATCTTTTTAAATCTTTAAACGAATTCAATTGTTTTTATAAGTGTCTAATTCAGTTGCAATTTTACTAGAAAAGATTTTAGGAAATTTGCAAAATTTCAATGAATTTTGATTTTATGAGTTACATTGTTTAATTTGCCTTCATTCAAATTTATTTTAGATTGAATTTTAACCCTTCAAATTATTCAAAATTTTGTTGCAAACTATATTTTTCTGTATGTTTATGAAAATTTATAATGAAAAACATTGAATAAACGCTTTTGATTTAATGTTTCGTTTTGTCAATCAGTTAAGCTCATTTGCTTTTTGCTAAAATTAATTAAACTTATTCTTCAATCTTTGATCCTTTTTATTGCTTATTTACTCAATAACAAAATTTTCAATAAGGCTTATTGTCAAAAGCACAAAAGTGAAAATATATTGATCAATAATTTAATTAATAATTAAAGATTGTTACTTGGTTTAGCTATACTTTGTGTAAAATAGATAATAAAATACAATGAATACTTCAAAGTTAGCTCAGTTTAGAAACTAATTTTAAAATTTCAAATGCAAAGAGTTTCTTTCTTTCTTTTCTTCATAATATGAATCATTGTAAACATTCTCTATCTAAAATTATTTCACTTCTTTCTTTGCATGAATGCAAATTAAAGATGATAAAAGACATTAAAATAAATGAACATCTGCTCTGAATGCTATTTGTTCATTTTTAAAATTAAAATTTTTAAATCATTTAAAATGTCTATGCACTGAAGAAAATTGATTTCATATAGTTAATCCATTATTCGCTTTTTAAGAGCTCAATAAAACTAAAAAATTTTTTAATACTTTTCCTACAAATCAAAAATTCAGGAATTCGTCTTCCTTTTCATTTCTCTTTTTATTTTTTTTTAGCATTTTATATTTTTTATCATTAATTTTTTATTTGTATAGCAAAAAATGCTTCATTTTTATTATCAAAATTCAGTTATTAATTTCTAATCAGAAAATCATTTCCTATTATAAAAACTTATTCCTAGCATATTCAGTATACAGAAAGGAAAATAAGTGGCAATAATAACCAAATTAGAAAATTTAAATTTAAATTTAATACTGAATTGATTTGATTGCATTATGCATGCTTATTTTAAAGTTTTGAAAATTTTTACTTCTTTCTCCTTTTGATGCAACTTTTCATTATGATAATATAGTATTTATCGTTAATTATTCATTTTATTTCCGATAGCTTTTTTAAATTACATAGCAACGAAATGTCTTAAAATATATCAATTTCAATAATTAATTGAAATTCACTTTTTTCTTTTCGTTTTAACTTATCTCTTAATTGATAAGAGTTATGATATTAATGATAGATCTCTTAAATGCTACTCTCGAAATATAATGATATTAGCAAACCTTAGTAGCATCATAATATAATAAATTATATACTACTTGCTAGCAGAATAACATAAATAAATTCTAAGATATTTTAAATTAAACTAAAACTATTCCATTAATTAATTAATTGACTAATATTTTTGCAGTAATGTTTTTCTTTTTTTTTTGGCGATAATTTTTTTTGGAAATAAATCTTTTCTTTTTTTTTTTGCTGTGACACACATAATGGATAGAAAAAAATTTTTATTCAAATTATCTGATAGAAAAATTTAAATGATGATTACACGATGAATCCATCAGAATACTAATCTTTCGCTTATCTTTTATTCTTAACACTGATAACGATTTCGATAATTGTACACAATTCTTTCACAAAATCTTTTCACTTCATATTATTGCCTATGCCTTCGTATATTTTATTGATCTTGTCGGATAATTCTGTTGTTATCATACCATTCGATGATAAATTACATTTTCTTGAACCGGTTTATCATACCTGATTCTCTTCATTCTTCTCTTCCCTTTTACCATTTTACTTTTCAACATAAATCTAACATTTCTATTCCTTTTCTTGCTATTTGTCTAATTTTTTTTTTTCTGCTCTTTGATAATGATAATATTATCTAATGTTAATGCCAAACATAGATTTAAATTGAAATTATCTGTTAGCAAAATTTGAAGTTATTGGCAAAAGCTTATAATTGCACGGTGTACGTTTGACGCAAAATATTCACGTAATGCTTTCATTTTTTAGCATTTACATGAAATGTTGATTTATACATACCAATATTTCAAAATATAAACGTAATATTTGTTTTTTTTTTCAAGATTTATACGTGAACGTTAAATTACATATTCGGCGCAAAATATTAACGTAATACTTTTTTGACAAAACTTTATTAAATATAAAATTGATCTTAAGCAATTAAGATATTATATTTTAATAATTAAATTTAAATTAAAAAAAAATTTTTTTTTTGCATGATGCGTTATTTTTATAGCATCAATTTTATGTTTAATAGTAATACTTATGTATAGAAATATTTCATAAATAAGTATTTCCATTTCAAATGCACTACGTAAGGTTTTTGGCGTTAACAATTGCGCCCAATTTGGGTCCAAAGAAAGAAAGAAATTACTAAAAAAAAAAAGAAAAAATAAATCAAAATAAAAACAAAAAGGGATATCCTTAAATTATTTTAATAAGTTATGATATCATATTAGTTTTTTCTTTGTCATTTAGTTTTTGCTTACATTTTATTTATCTCACTCTCTCTCTCTCTCAAGAAATAAATAATTTGTTTCTTTTTTTTAAAAAAAAAAAACAACAAAAAACAAAGAAATCCTAAAAAAGAGTAAATTGAATTTTGTCTTTCTGTTTTTTTTTTTTTTCCCCAATAAATTTTATTCGTAAATTTATAAATTGAAAATTTTCTTAAATTGGAATTTTTATCATTTTTCTTTTCTTCTTCATCTGCATATCTCCATTTTAAAAAAAAATATCTAAACTTATATGAAAAAAAAAAAAGAAAAGGAAATTTAAAAGAATAAATGCGCTTAAAACTAGTTTATTAAAACTATTTTCAATCTATTTAATTATACATAAACATATTTAAATGTATCACATCGTATGTCTCTGATGTATGTGTCACCTTATAGACTTGTCAACAACCGCCATATAAAATTTGTTGTTTGTTGACCAATTTTTGAATATTGTCATTTGTTTAATTTAAATTTCTCGCTAAATTACTTAACTTTTGAAGTGAAAAAATAAACAGTTATCTGTTTCAAATTTAGATATTTTTGAAAGAAAAAACAATATTTTTTTTCTTTTTTTTTTTTTGATTAACAACAAAAATAATATATGAAATTAAAATTAGAAAAAAAATTAATTTTTTTTTTTTGATTAACAATAATATACGAAACTAAATAATATATGAAATTAAAATAAAATTTATTTTATTTGTCATATTTAAATGTACTCATTTTCATATTACAGACATTGCACTCATTATTTATCTCTTTTTTTTCTATTGTTTTACTTAATCTTTGTGCTTTTTAAGTATCATTTTCTTGCTTTCGTTTTATTTTATTTTCATTTTTCGTTTTGCTTAGAAAGTTTTTATACTAAGATTAATTATTCAAATTATTGGAATGTTCCAGAATCAGAAAGAATTCTTGCAAATTTAAAGTTTACTTCATTTTATGTAATAATGTTCATTACACCCATTCTATTTACTTTATTCATTGTAATCGAATTTCTAATCTCAAATTCCAGATCTATCGGACTTTTTAATTAATTAAAATTTTCATAAATATCTAAACACACTACTTTCACATCATCCAATCATTGCCATTCATTCTTACATTTGAATTCTGTTTAATGTTTTACGTACTTATAGCAATTTTTTTTTTTTAAATTATTGCGCAATTAATTAGTCAAAGTAATTCTTAATTTTGCATATTTAATTCAAAAAAAAAATTAATTAATTAAAATTTTCGTTAAAAAAAAAAGTACATAAAGACAACAATCTTTATGTACTTTTTTATCTACGTCAACAATTTAAAGTGAAAAAAAAATGGAATAAAACTTTAATTAAAAACTTTTATTTCAAAAGCAAAATTTTGTTTCATCAATTGCTTATTATTCGTAAAGGTTATTAATATTATTGGAATAATTTTAATTGTATAAATAACTGAAGAATTTGAAATGCTAGAACAAGTTATTAATATTTTTAATTTTTTGGAACGAATATTTCTAATTAATGTCACATCATATTTTCATTAAAAAGCATTTGACATCATTTAGCTCTTTCAAACATAAAATTTATACATTTGTTAATTGTTATGGAATTTTTTTTTTCAAAAAATTTTAAATCTTCTATCTTTTCCAAAATGAAGCAAAAATTAAATTAATGTGAGGAAAAGATGAAGATGCTGAAGCATTGGAATATTTGAAATGAATGAAAGAGAGATTGTTCAAAATGATTGTCATAAATAATTAGGTCAATCATCATCGTCATCACTCATCATCATCTCATCATCGTCATCATCGTCATCATCATCATCACTTCTCTCTTTTATTATTTGCATTACAATATGTGGGACAATTCAGAAATGCTAAAAGTATTATCGATAATGTTTATATTATCACAGATGCTCAATCATATTTTGCTTTTTTAGTTAATCAAAATCATTTCTCAATTTATTTTTCCAAAATATACTATTTAACTTTTTTTTTTTTTTAAATTTTACCACACCAATGTTTACTTATTCTACCATTTTAGTTAATGTGTAAACAAATCAGCGATAAATGTAAATAATTCCCATAATATCATGTTGTGCAGAGCTAAAATTGAATTATTTTTTATTATTTTGTAGCATATATATAAAGCTTTGTTACTAATTGTTTTCATCATTTACCTTTGCTATAAATATATTTTTAATGAATTCATTGATGGAGAGAAAAAAGAAAGAGAAAATAAAAACATTAAAGTAATATTAACGTAAATTAGATAACTATTGATAACACTAACACATTATATGATATAATTTAAATTGTATTACTTCATTAACAACCGTTAAGTAATACTAATATATGTAAATAAAAAATATGTATATGAAAGTATAGAATTATTAAGTAAATATAATTAATTATTATTTACTCTATGCATGCTTTAATGTCAACTTCTACACATTTAGAATACCTGTGCACAACTGGTCTTATCACTTCTC